ATGTATTAGCAGTGTTACATCATAGGCCTGGGTCACGTACTTCTATTAGATATGTATTAGCAATGTTACATCATAGGCCTGGGTCCTTCTATTAGATGTGTATTAGCAGTGTTGCATCATAGGCCTGGGCAACTTCTATTAGATGTGTATTAGCAGTGTTACATCATAGGCCTGGGTAACTTCTATCAGATATGTATTAGCAATGTTACGTCATAGGCCTGGGTCACTTCTTTTAGATGTGTATTAGCAGTGTTACGTCATGGGCCTGGGTAACTTCTATTAGATATGTATTAGCAGTGTTACATCATAGGCCTGGGTCACTTCTATTAGATGTGTATTAGCAGTGTTACATCATAGGCCTGGGTCACGTCTATTAGATATGTATTAGCAGTGTTACATCATAGGCCTGGGTCCCTTCTATCAGATATGTATTAGCAGTGTTACATCATGGGCCTGGGTCACTTCTATTAGATATGTACTAGCAGTGTTACATCATGGGCCTGGGTCACTTCTATTAGATGTGTATTAGCAGTGTTACATCATAGGCCTGGGTCACTTCTATCAGATATGTATTAGCAGTGTTACATCATAGGCCTGGGTCACCTCTATCAAATATGTATTTGCAGTGTTACATCATAGGCCTGGGGCATTTCTATTAGATATGTATTAGCAGTGTTACATCATAGGCCTGGGTCACTTCTATTATATTTGTATCAGCAGTTACAATTACACGTACAATGTAGTAAATATTACAAGTCTGAGCATGTATGGTAAACTATGAAGTGCAATCAATGACAGCCATCAATAAATCTTTGTGATACAGTGCAACAATGAGTCTGTCTATGTATGTATGACAAACTGTACAGTGCAGTGAATAACTCCTGTCAATTAGTTGACACATGGATTGATAACTTTTACCTTTTGCCATGTTTTAAATGAATGCATAGGAAGATGCATCCAAATAGAATACAGAGAGATCCAGTCACAATGTACGCCACACCAAGGAATATATTCTTTCCACCAAGCCAGGATGAGGTACTTATAATGATCCGTTTTGTACCTTCAAACATAGTGACGGGGTAAGCTGATAAGAAGTGGTTAAGTCATAAACATCATTCAACTTTAGTCATCTACACGAATGCATTTATAGGCAACTATGGAAGGTATACAGTGGCATTCGTGCATAGCAGCACTAGGCTTCCGCTAATACTTCAGGGGTGCAATGCTGAAATACGTTTAAACTTGACCACAAAAAATGTCACTTTTAACCACGAATGGCAACAAGACTAATTTAAAACCATGAATGACTATGATGAAATGGTCATCATTTAAAAACACAAAGCAAAGTATCAAACATCTGTGAAGCATTTGATCTATTAGTTGCGCATGCACTTACATAAATGACGCAAGTGTGTCTATGGTCAAAATAAGTTGTATGTTAATGATCTTGTATACAGTTGAAGCAAATACTGGTTCATATGCATTTCATTGAAGATAGGCTACTAATACAGTGAATACGGCAACTTGCTTATCAATATAAAGGGCATTTTATATTATTACTGTTTCCCTGTATATGAAGTAACTAAACAAACAAAAAATGCCACACAGCCAAAACTAATTTTTTCTTAGCGGAAGCCCAGTAATAACCATCAATGCTGCATATGGAATAAAATGAATTCAAATCTTGTATAAGAATACATGAGAATTCTTACAATTTGAAGACTTAATGAAGTTCATGAGGATAAAATTTCACTAAGGATGCTGCGACTCCTATTGAACGCTTACTGCTATAAAATTTAATCTCTTTCACTGTGTTGCATAATTCATGAACAATTTGGGATGCATTGAGTTACAATTTGGGCATGATTTTGCAAAAGTGGGTGTGGTTTCTAAAATATGGGTATGGTCATTATTTGATTTTTGACGTTTTCCTAACTCGATATTCGTAACTCAGCGTCCGTAACTCAAACAATTTAGCATCTTGTTAAATAGACCATTTTCCGTTCACTGCGAGAATCACGCGTTATGCGTGAAATCGAACGTAAAAACAGGACAAACAAAGGTCATAGCGTCGTAGTGGCGTCAAACATCGCGTGGGATTCGACAAACGCGAAGTACTTTCGGGGACATTTCCATGCTTAATAATGTGCTGTCCACATTTCATGATAGGCAATTTCGATTAAGTGAGGGTATTCGGAAGCAATATTCCCCTGTCGAAGATCGGCTGGTCGGTGTGAGTTACGAAATAAAGAAATTCTAGTTCAAAATCAAATTGTTCGACTTTTGCGGCAGACGTTCGACGGCGTTTTTCATACATCTCGCGAGATCTCGGAATTGTACGGAAAATCACCTATTGAAGCGGTTTAAGAATCCATAGATTTCATAAGATTTGAGTTTTGCACCACAATCACAATCTCTAACAAAGCACTAGTGTAATCCCTCTAATATTGAAAACAACGTTTTGCAAAGAATGACATGCTTCTATTTCAAACCGTTTCAATTAATATGATACCAGAACAAGTAAGTAAGCCTTAGGTTTGGAAAAAAACAAAAACATCTGGATTTTAGATGGCAGACTGATAAATTTAGAGTGAGTAGTAAGGTGAGTAAGTTTTCTAATATTGCCAATGGTTGAATCAACTTCATTTTTGACATATTCCACATCTGAGATGATGCTGTTCACTATTTGATTCTCAAAATGATATATTATTATTTTTTTTCAATTTCGGGTACTTAACGAAATGCTTCTACATGTGAAACAGCCCTGCTTTTAAAAATTTTACATTGTAGTAAAATTGTAGTACAAGACCTGTTCAGTACAATTGTAAATAAAAAGAGAGGGAAGGGAATCTATCTACTTCTGAAAGGATACCATACTGGATGTTTGCTTCATACAGACCATCAGGTAAACTATGCTCAAATATTGAGTTCGTTTGATGGTCAATACGCCGATACAATTTCCTGAAGTACGGTAATGCAGCTGTACGCATCCACACAATGAAGTCTTCGTTCTCATATCCATTGTTATCTGGATCGTCTGGATCCAGCTCGTACACAAATTTATGCCAATTGGGAGGATGGTAAGTGCCCTCAAATGCTACAATGTAATACATAAATCTGTGAGTTAAATCTGTCACATTGGATATTGAGTTTTTGAGCAGTATGTCACGTAAGGCATCAAACTTGCCACACTGGGTTGTCAAATGTGCCACATTGGATGTCAATTGGTTGTAAAATCTGTCACATTGGATATCATATTGGATGTCAAATCTGCCATATTAGATGTCAAATTTGTCACACACATTGTACACTTATTCTGCCATATTGGATGTCAAATCTATCACATTGGATATCAAATATGTCACATTATATGTAAAATCTTTCACGTTGCTCATTAAATCTGCCATGTTGGATGTCCAATTTGCCATATTGGATGTCAAATGTGTCACACATATTGTACATTTAATCTGCTACATTGGATGTCAAATCCATCATTATGGATGATACAACCATTAAAAAGCATTTCAAACTTACCCACAGAATGATTGTATCCACTTGGATTGTTGAATTTAGTACTCTTGTCTGTTGTCCAAGCAATGTCATTGTATTTCACAGGCACAGGAGTGTTCATGTTGTTATGAACACCCAAATATGTCAGTGAAATGGAATCTATGAGAGAAGTAACAATATAATTTTGCATTTATTAGCTGTTTTTACTTTTATTTGTACTTAAAATCTGGTGGCCTCTGTCACTTCAGTGAATAAAATACTTTATACTCATTATTGAGGTGAATGTGTAAATTTGTATACACTACTAAAAAATACTTTATTTTAGCAGGAATTAATTTTCGCTGAAAACACTTTTTGGGTGTTTTGTATGGAATTTATTTTCACTGATTTTTGACGAGTTGGATGTAAAATATAGGAAAAATTGTATATTCTAGCTGAATTTTATTTTCACTGAATCATTCCATTCCATAGCATTTTACGGTATATTGTTGAGAATCTTCTGGTTGCAAGTCAGTATATTAAACTACAGTCCTTTAGAATTATTCAAATTCACAATTGATGTGCATGGCACTTCTTAAAAGTAACATTTCAATTTTTTTTTTTTGAAACTAATTTACAAAACTCTCCTTTCAAAACTGTTAAATATAAATATAATATGCTCTTGTTAAATCATCACTAATTTCAGTTTTTGGAATATTGCCTCCAGCATAATTGTTTATGTTGTATTCTGCAAGACCATCCCCATGAACAATACATACACAATGTTGATCATACACACTGAGTTAGGAGGCTTTGTTTGTGTTTGAAGGGCAGTTACATTGTCAGAGTATTTTTCTAAGGCATAAGACCCTCCAGTAACCTCAAAATAAAACGAGTGGAAAGTGAGGGCAGAATATGTACTGTTAATATACTGTAGAATACTTTATTTTCGCTTTGAATTTATGTTCGCAATTTTCGCAGAAGGGATGATTCCGTGAAAATAAAATCCAGCGAATATACTTTTTTTCCTATATTTCACATTCAACTAATCAAAATCAGTGAAAATAAATTCCATACAAAACACCCAAAAAACCTTTTCAGCAAAAATAAATTATTTCACAGTATTGTTCAGGTGTATAATTTTAACACAGATTATGTTTATCTTGTTGTGGTAGTAATGTCTCATTTGTAGGAATGGGGGGGTTAAGCTGTTTAGGAAGAAGTGTAAAAGACAAGTGGGGTAAATCAAATATACAGTGTTTAAAAATCATAATTTTTTGTTGATGATTACCAGTACATAATATTTTTTCTTCAAAATTTTAAGTATAATGAATATTAACCAATAATAATTAATATTGTGATATTAATCACCTAATGAATATCATTATAGGAAGTTTATTAAATAAATCTATACATAATGGTAATTAGTATGCTAATATATGCAAATAGGTATGCAAAATAGCCATAGTGAAATACACATGTACAGCTGTATTTGTCTGTATACATGCTAATCAATAGTACACACAATGAAAACATAAGCTACATATTATACACAATGTAACCAATAATGGAACAGTATCAAGATTGATAGACTAATTATAATATAATGATTTCCTAATATTTATGAGATAAATCACCATGGTGATCAATAAATAATTAATGTCATGCACGACAACTGCTTCTTAGTCCCCCCAAAAAAATGATAATGTTTCTGGTCAATGCACACAACAGTTAAAAATCTGTGCGATGAGATAGTAAAACTGAAAGAATAATTAAATTTGTTGAAAAATCTAAATTATGAGCATCATTTTAATTTAAACACCTCCATCAATTTGGGTACTGTAAAATACTTTATTTTAGGTTGGAATTAACTTTCACTATTTTTGGTGAAGGAATGATTCAGTGAAAATAAAATATACCCTTTTTCCTATATTTTACATTCAACTTGTCAAAAATCAGTGAAAATAAATTCCATACAAAACACCCAAAATGTCTTTTCAGCAAAAATTAAATCCAGCTAAAATAAAGTATTTTACAGTAAGTAAATTTGACCAGAAAATGCTTATCCTTGGACTTGCATGCCATAAGCATCTAGACTACATACTTGACAGGAGAGTACATACCATTAAAGAAACTGTTGGATATAGCTCCACAGGGAGCAACAGGTAAAGTTGTATTGGTTCCAGGAACTGTAGTCTCTCGAAATGGCTCACAGTACTCAGATAACTGCGAGACAGATTCTGTCTTGTCGCCAGTTAGTTGATAATCATCACGAGATCTAACATAACGACGATGATTCTGATAGTAATTGGTCAGGCCATAATATAAATATACTGGACCCTACAAAGAAATCATCAAAGAATTATTATTATACATTGGTGTGTGGCAATCGTTGGTTTCCATACTACAAATGTACTTTGGACATGTCAGTGCAATTCACCTTCTCACAATCATTTTCTCATTGGGAAAACTTAGCTAGTCTGGCAACATTTGCTGATCTTTATAGTTTTCTTTTTAACTTGCTAAATGATATAAAAAGACTTTATTTCACATAAGGTGAACATTTTCACATTTACTAGTTGATGGCAACAGCAAAATAGTTTAAAGCCGGAGGGTCGTCACCTGCGTACTGGCAGGAATTGAGTCCCAAGCGACGATAACAACACAGGCTAAAACGCAAAGATTCAAGGGCAGACGCTTGTTTGTGGACAATGACACGCTAAGGCCATCTCGCTTGAAGAGTTTTAAGATCAGCTGCTGACATTGATCAAAATTGTGTTCAAATAATGCATAAGCAATTCTGTGGAAAGACAAATAACAAACTGACAAACGCCATTACAACATGCTACATGTGTAAACCACTTTATATATGCAAGAAATAAATTTCCCCGAATTCCTGAAGTCAAGAAAACCTAGAAATTTTGCAGCAGTGAACATTTCATTCATCAGTAGCTTGAAATTGCATTCCTTTGAATGTTTTCAATTATTTCATAGAGGTGTGAAGGACAGCATGTCATACTGTATTTGCTCATTTCATGGCACATGTGCTAATGTGAATTAGAGGCGATTTTATGACCAGAATAAATCATATTTCAATGATTCATACACACACAATGAACCAGGCTGAAATATGAATTATAACACGTTGACATCTTTACACACATTGCCCTTGGGGAACAGAAGGCCAGAGGAGAAAGTGAACCTTCCCTTCATCTCCAATGCATTCCTCCGTAAAGTAGCAATCAGGAAACTCAAAACTTATTTATTGACAGAAGTTAATGATCTTTAAATACTTACCGCAAAATTTTCAGTTATCTCAAATTGTACTTTACAATTGCAGAATGTACCTAAATTACTCATGTTCAACACGTATTGTGAGCACGGTAGAGAGGAATTAACTGTTACATTGCCATCCTGATACGGTTCCTGAGTGCACTCAGTATAGTCTAACTGCAACTCATGCACCTATAAAAAATGATATCCACAAACATATACATGACAAACTAATATTTATTATACATCTGACAACACAAAAACAATAGAATTTACCATTCTGTAAAGAGCCGTATCAGCACTAATTTCAAAATGTTTGCTGTTAGTATGAACGTTTGAATTTACCTGTATCAGATGTAAACTACGTCACTAAGACTATTGACGCCACATTCAAACACTTCCCCTTCTTAACATTGGACAAAGAAATGCTTTAGCGTGCAACGGAAATGAAATCCCGCTCCTGAACACAAATGTACACACAACGCAAAACATTTATGGTTACCATTTCAGACTATGATCACTAAATTTTTCGTACTTTGTTGTATTCTTGTGATAACCTCATGGTGTTATTGTTTGCTAACAATGTGCAAAAGTAAATATTACAAGCCTATACTGGAATTACATGTAGTTCGATTCAAATTTAGCTGTTGTGCGCAGATAATGACAATAAACAATGAAAGAATTATCTTGCAGTTCCAGGGAAAGACACAAGACTAGCTTTTTGAATCTGAAAAAGTTTCACACACTGAATGGCTTCCATGATTACGTTCTATTTTTAGGTAGATTTCATAATCATAATAGCTCAAGAGGCACAGTTCTCATTTCCAAATGTAGTAGCCCGACTAGACTTTTACAAATTAATGACACTGCGTTTCACATCCACCAGCTTTTCAGTTTCAGTTATAGATGTCTTACATTGAACAAAGCAAAATTTATTTATACGTGTATGTTCTTACACTTGTTTGCATGGTTATGCCTACCTAACCTGATAGACATTTCCTACCCAGTAAGCCAAAATACCAGCTTTAAAAAAGGAATTTTGGTAATTTCAAGTCCTGACAATCATGACATGTGTGAGACATGCTGTTCAAAAGAGTACAGAGGACTTACATTTTCAGATGTGATGAGAAGTCCAATTCCCAAAGGAATAAATATGATGCCTATAATAAAGAAAGTTGGCAGTACTGTGCCTGCTGTGAGGATGGGTTGCCAGGCTGGTAACCTCTGTTGTTTGAAGGCAGTGGCTGGAATAAAAACAGGACATCACATGAAGTAATTAGATGTAGAAATATTTAGTAAAATATTTGACAATATTTAGCATAATATTTGACAATGAACATTTTATTAATACCAACTACCGCGAACTGCGTAATTTTCACTACTAGGATTTGATTTGCCATTCATGAGGACAATGTTTTGCAAAATTCATTGACACTATGTCATATGACCCCAGACAAAATTTTCGCCATTACAAAATTCCACTGACTTGCGATATTCATAAATTTTTTTCACTCACAAAATAAAAGCAATTTACAGTATATACCAATGTACAGCATAGCAGTGACTCAATGTCATAGAACTTTACAAAGTCTCAAGAATTTAGCATGCAAGTTTAGCAGAGAAAAACTTGCAAATCAATCCTACATGTACAGACACTATTATACATATGTACCACTGTAAACTGACAACAGACTTTTAAAGGTAGAGTGAACCAAGTGAGTATTGGTCACCAAATCCGGGAGAAGAATAACGCACTGGAGAGGAACACTTGTAGCTAAGATGTTTATTGCTCAACTGCTAGGCCTGGAACTGAGTCTAAATACTCAGGAGATGTTCCATACAATGTATCAATATCATTATGCAAATAAGTAAACTAAATGTCATAGCCTCAAATCATCACAACCACTTATAACACTACTTTACCCATCCAAAGTCAGGATCACATATGATATAAAGATGGACCAAATAATTCTGAAATATTGCCCTGTTCACTTTTTTTGTGTTTCCATAACAACTTGCCTGCCTTGGTGATATGCTAAATACAAAATTCTTTCCTATAAAACTCCTATAAACAATAATTATCATACACGCCCTTATGAGATAATGAACATTGTCAGCAATGATTTGAAGATAGAGCCTCCGTACAAGTCACATCTCTCACACAACAAATTTACATGGAAAAGAACATGTACTACTAGTACTACTGTAAAGTACTTAATTTTCACTCAATTTATTTTTCGCTAAAGGAATGAATCTGTGAAAATAAAATCTAGCGACTATATTATTTTTCCCTATATTTCACATTCAAGTCATCAAATACAATGAAAATAAACTTCATAAAAAACAGCTGAAAAGTCTTTTCAGTGCAAATCAATTCCAGCTTAATTATACTATTTTTTACCATGACTTTGCGAGCAAAACTACTACAATAATTTGTAAACCTTTACTGTCAGCGTTACAGCGTATACTCATGGTGTGATTGGTACTGCACATGACAGACTGCTTTATGCAAGTGCATTTGTGACGTTTTACCAATTTGTTTTTCAATTTTTTTACATTGGCGCACAGTCCCTCTATCATGATAGAGGGACTGTGATAGAGGGACTGTGATTGGCGTGATCATTGATTTACGTAAACAAACTACAACATTGTTTATGGCTAAAAAAACAGCTAGGATTAGTCTGCAGAAATCAAAGACAATAGTAAAGGTGTGGAAATCAAGCATGGCAGTAATGATTTTTGAGCGTGGTGGTGTCGCAGACAACCATGACGGTCTCTCAGAGGAGCATGGTGGAACCGCCACGCTGTTTTGTAGCCTGGGGAGAACGATGCTATGACAAGGTAGGTGTGGTACTATAGATATCATTATGACATCACCCTACTAGTCGGCAATGAAAAGCGGGTCACACTATCAACACTAACAGCATTACACATTAATTTACTAGTTACTCATTCAAACACATCAGCTAAACAAGTATTTTACAAATTAAACTACAAATATACATATTAATGACACCTGCTTTAAAATTAGAAATTTACGTATTTATCTTTTTTTTAAAAAAACTTGTATATATTCACACTATTACAAGTGTTTTCTTTAAATAACTACTGCATAGAAAAAAAAAATCGTCGGATACGAGAACGGTGGCTAATTATGTCGTACGTCAATTTAGCGTTGTTAACACTTGAATAATAAAATAATAATCGATACTTTGTCATTGTCAAATTTACATGCAGTACATCAGTAATTAGTAACCACGGTGTTAGGCACACGCGCAAAATAAATGATCCGTTTTCTTCGAATATTGTTTGTTTTGATCAAACTTCCACATATATCGTACCTTTAGGTCTTCTACTTTCCTGCTGTTCTTCTTCCTCTTCTTCTAACGGTTGTTCGCTTATATTATTTTCACCTAGGTTCGCCGCGGCCACCGAGGCGGCAGTTGCTGCACGGACTTCCGCCATCTTTGCTATTTATTCGGCGTGACTGACTGTATCGTGACTATTTTA